ATACAATGGCTTTGAAATAACAGAGCTCAATTCTTTAAGGACCCGTGGGTGTATGCCATCCAGTCCAGGTGCTTTACTCACCTTTATTCTGTCTAAATATTTTTGGATCATATCAATTGTGAGCCAATGTGGATCATTTGGAGCTGTGTCAATATCATGCTCATTATGGACAAGAGCTCCCCCATGCTCCTTTGTGTACACAGAGAGCTGACGAAGGTATTTAATAAATTTGCTTTCTCTTTGTTCCCAGTCGCCCACTCTAGATTATTTTGTAAAGGGCCTACATGCTCGGACCGGACATTTTTAATATTAATATATTTGAAGAATTTTTTTGAGGTTGGTCCTGCTATCTTAAGCAATCTGTTGTTCATTTTCAATTTTTGTGGCCTTTATTTCCTTTTTGCATATTCTGTTAGATTCTTTGTAATGTTTAAATGATAATAGCATTACTTCATTTTTATATTTAATAAAAGCTCTTTTCTTATTATCTATAGCTTTTTTAACTTAGTCCGTAAGCCACATAGGTTTGATATTTAGCTTTTTAAACTTGTTGCCCATGGGAATATATTTTGCAGTGTGTTCACATACAGTCTTTTTGAAGAACTCCCTTTTCTGTGTTGTGTTCATTGATGCCAATATTCCCTCCCAGTCTAAGTCTTGGAGAGCAGCTCTCAGCCTTGAAAAATTAGCTCTCTTAAAATTGAACATTTTTATTTTTCCAGTATGTGCTTGCTGTTTACAGCTAACAATAAATAAAATCATGTTATTGTCACTGCTACCCAGATGTTCTTTTATATGGACATTCATAATAAGCTCTGCATGGTGTGAGGTTACCAGGTCCAGCAGAGTATCATTCCTAGTAGGGGCCTCTATGAACTGTACCATAAATGTTTCCTGTAGTAGGTTTAAAAATTGTTGCCCTTTAACTGTTCCTGCAGTACCATTACTCCAGTCAATTTCCGGGTAGTTAATATCCCCCATTATTATCAGTGTCCCAGCCCTTGCAGCCCTTTCGATCTGTGCAAGAAGCTTAGTCTCCACCTCCTCATTAACATTGGGAGGCCTATAATAAATTCCAATGATTACCTTTGTAGTATGCACCCCCATGTGCAGTTTCACCCATAATACTTCAACCTCATCACACTCTCCATCAACTAGATCCTCTTTACACTCGCTCTGAGATCACTTCTCACATAGAGACAGACACCACCACCTTTCCTATTTACCCTGTCTCTCCGAAAGAGAACATAGACAGGAATATTAATAGTGTTTCCATTGTTTTGTCCAACCCCTGTAGATATATATACATATATACACACATATACAGTGGGGAAAATAATTATTTGATCCCCTGCAGATTTTATAAGTTTGCCCACTTACAAAGAAATGAAGGGTCTATCATTTTAATTTTAGGAGTATTTTAAATGATAGAGATAGAATATCAACCAAAAATCCAGAAAAAAACACATTATACAAATGTTATAAATTGTGTTGCAGTTCAGTGAGTAAAATAAGTCTTTGATCATCAAGGAAAACACAACTTAGTAGAGAAAGGGAGAAACCCTTGTTGACAAGCATAAAGGTAGGACGTTTCTTGTAATTTTGTTACCAGGTTTGCATAAATCTCAGGAGAAATTTTGGTCCACTTTCTCTAAATCCTTAAGGTTTCTTGACTGTTGCTTGGCAATTCAAAGTTTCAGCTCCCTCCATAAATTTTCTATAGGATTATGGTCTGAAGGTTGGCTAGGCCACTTCACGACCTTAATGTGCTTCTTCTTGAGCCACTCCTTTGTTGCCTTGGCGGAATGTTTTGGGTCATTGTCATGCTGGAAGATCCATCCACGACCCATCTTCATTGTTCTGGCTGAGGGAAGAAGGTTCTCATCTAAGATTTCACAATACATGGCCCAGTCCATTGGTCCCTCAATGCGGCAAAGTCAGCCTGTACCTTTATCAGAGAAACAGCCCTAAAGCATAATGTTTCCACCTCCATGCTTGACTGTAGGGATGGTGTTCTTAGGGTCATATTCAGCATTTTTCTACCTCCAAACACGGCAAGTCAAGTCAATGCCAAAGAGCTCAATTTTGGCCTCATCCGACCACAACACTTTCTCCCAATCCTTCTCTAAATCATTTAGATGTTCATTGGCAAACTTCAGATGGGCCTGTACATGTGCCTTCTTGAGGAGGGGGACCTTGCAGATGCTGCAGGATTTCAATCCATGGCAGCATATTGTGTTACCAACGGGTTGTTTGGTGACTGTGGTCCCAGCTGCCTTGAGATCATTCAGAAGTTCCTCCCATGTAGTTCTGAGCTGATCCGTCACTTTTCTCATGATCATCCTTACCCCATGAGTTGAAATCTTGCATGGAGCTCCAGACTGAGGGTGATTGATGGGTATTTTGTATTTCTTCCATTTGCGAATAATCGCTCCAACAGTTGTCTCCTTCTCACCAAGCATCTTGTAGCCCATTCCAGCCTTGTGCAGTTCTATAATCTTGTCCCTGAGGTCCTTTGACAGCTCTTTGGTCTTGCCCATGATGGTGAGAAAGAATGAGATTCTGTGGACAGGTGTCTTTTATACACATAATGAGTTGTTGTTAGGAACACCTTCTTAAATTGAAAGGACTAATCTGTGTACCACATGAGCACATAGCCAGTCTGTGGGAGCCAGAATTATTGTTCGTTTGTTGGAGATCAAATATTTATTTTACTCACTGAACTGAAACTCAATTTATAACATTTGTATCGTGTGTTTTTTTCTGGATTTTTGGTTGATATTCTATCTCTATCATTTAAAATACACCTATTATAAAAAAATTATAGACCCTTCATTTCTTTGTAAGCGGGAAAACTTACAAAGTCTGCAGGGGATCAAATTATTAATTATCCCATATATATATAAATATATATATACTGTGTGTATTACATATTGCTATGGATTACCATAACCCTGACTGGTGTAATTGCTGGGAAACCCATCTAAAATATTTTTTAAGTTGACTATGCTTTCAGCTGATACCACTCACTGCTCTGACAGTAAAGAATCCATTACCCAGTTTAAGATTTAACAGCTTCTTGTCAAATGCCATGCTGTGGCCATGTGTCTTCTTTTGAAACCATCACTTATACATTTATATATTGTGTTGAAATTCCCTCTTAAGCACCTCTTTTTCCAGGAAAATACATTCAGTCTCAATAATTTTTTCTTCTTTTCCATCCCCAATTTCTCTAGAGAATCACCTCCTGATGAGTAGCTTGCATACACATTTTTTGCTTCCAAGTGCATAACTCTACATTTTTCAATACAGAACCTCATTTGTCATGTAGCTGCCCACACCTCAAATGTATTCTTAGTCTTCTTCTAGAGATTCTATATCCTGCTGTAAGTTATTCTTTACATAGTTTGGTATTATCAGAAAACATCTATGTACAGTACATACTGTACTAAGTAATTCCTCAATGCCAGCAGACCTTAACTTGTAAATTAGGTATAGATGAGAACTTTAGCGAATGCTATAGCAAAATCCAGACAAACTAAGTTGTTTCATCTCCCTCTATCTATCTAAATTACTACATACTTTCTCATAGAATGGTATGAAGTTGGTCTGACAACAAAGGTTCATGCTGGTTGTTACCTATGACATTTTCACAGGCAAATTCTTAAATAAAGCCCTATACCATTCCTTGCCATATCATGCATATTATTGATGTAAGCCTGCCTGGTCTGTAGTTAAAGTGTTACTAAACCCACAAAAGTAAAATCAGTCTGTATATGTAGTAAAGCATGCTTGTTATACTCTCTGTGGAGCCTAAGGGGTTAATCCTCCACATTGTATATAAAGACTGTTTGACCCTGTCTTCTCTGAATCCTCCCCTTCTTCTTCTGTCCCTAATCCATCTGCTGATAGGACAGAGCTCTGGGAGTCACTCTGCACATGCTCAGTTAGTGTGTATGGCTAGAGAGTTCTTTTTTCTTTGGGATGCTGTATGTGATCAGAACAGGGCCAATGAACACTGACTTGCAGCCTCATAGGATAGTCAGAGCAGAAAGAAAACTCCTCCTACAAGATTTAACTAGTGCTCAGCTGGACACTGATAGAAGTCACAAGATTGCTATATACTGCTGATGAGAAAAGGTATTTTGCAGTTTATATATTTAAAAAAAAAAAGCATTTCCATGTTCTGTGTACTGTGGGAGACCAGATATAGTGAATGAAGGGTCATGGGTTTAGTAACACTGGTATACATCCTGATCCTTTTTTGAAAATTGGTATTGCATTTGCTATTCTTCAATTGGTTGGTACTTTTCCAGTCATTAAGATGTTCTTCAAAAATAGAAACAATGACCTGGCTTTAACTTGGCTAAGCTCTTCGAGAACGCTCGAGTGTAGGCCATATGGTCCTGGAGATTTATTTACATTAGGCTATTCTTGTCTTTTCTTGCACCTGGATATCTGTCAGTCACAGGAGTGGGTGGGGTACCTTAAGCCTGTTGTTATTAGCATTACTGTTTCAAATACCATATTTTCTGCCGTATAAGACGACTGGGCGTAAAGACGACCCCTACTTTTCCTGTTAAAATATAGGGTTTGGGCTATACTCGCCGTATAAGACTACCCCTCTTCCAACGCACACCAAATAAAAATGAAAAAACATCAGATTTGATTTCAATATGGTATGCTATTTCAGTATGGTATTCCAATGATGGGGTGCTATTCCTCCCACTGACACCAATGATGGGGCACGATTCCTCGCTCTGACACCAATGATGTGGCACTATTCCCTCCCACTGATACCAATGATGGGACACTATTCCTCCCACTGACACCAATGATGGTGCCCCATCATTAGTGTCACTGTGTGAGGAATAGTGTCCCATCATTAGTGTCAGTGGGAGGAATAGTACTCCATCAGTGTCAGTGGGAGAAATAGTGCCCCATCATTGGTGTCAGTGGGAAGAATCGTGCCCCATCATTGGTGTCAGTGGGAGGAATAGTGCCCCATCATTGGTGTCAGTGGGAGGAATAGTGCCTTATCATTGGTGTCAGTGGGAGGAATAGTGCCCCATCATTGGTGTCAGAGCGAGGAATCGTGCCCCATCATTGGTGTCAGTGGGAGGAATAGCACCCCATCATTGGTGTCAGTGAGAGGAATAGCGCCCCATCATTGGTGTCAGTGGGAGGAATCGTGCCCCATCATTGGTATCAGTGGCAGGAATAGTGCCCCATCATTGGTGTCAGTGGGAGGAATCGTGCCCCATCATTGGTATCAGTGGGAGGAATAGTGACCCATCATTAGTATCATTGGGGGGAATAGTGCCCCATCTTTGGTGTCAGTGGAAGGAATCATGCCCCGTCATTGGTGTCAGTGGGAGGAATAGTGCCCCGTCATTGGTGTCAGTGGGAGGAATAGTGCCCCGTCATTGGTGTCAGTGGGAGGAATAGTGCTCCATCATTGGTGTCAGTGGGGGGTGGAATAGTGCCCCATCATTGGTGTCAGTGGGGGGTGGAATAGTGCCCCCTCATTGGTGTCAGTGGGGGGAGGAATAGTGCCCCATCATTGGTGTGTCAGTGGGGAGGAATAGTGTCCCATAGTTGGTGTCAGTGGGGAGGAGGAATAGTGCCCCATCGTTGGTGTCAGTGGGGGGGAGGAATAGTGCCCCATCGTTGGTGTCAGTGGGAGGAATAATGCCCCATCATTAGTATCAGTGACACCAATGATGGGGCACTATTCCTACCAATGACACTTGCTGACCCCTGTTCCAGTATGGTGCTGCTGCAGCCAGCATATGTCGTTGCAGCAGCACCTCTGCGCGGCACACTTACCGGCCGCTCCCTCACTCGATTTTCGCGGGGCCGCTCGGCTCCTCCTCCTCGCCGGTGATTGGTCGCCTGTGTGCCTTTCCTGAGCTACAGTTCTGGAGCCCAATCACCGGTGAGGAGGCGAAGCCGAGCGGCCAAACTGAATGAAGGAGCAGCCATGCTTCCTGGACTGGATCATCGTGGGACTGGGACCGGAGCCAGGTAAGAAACAGCAGCCCCCTGCCCACCCCTGTACTTAGTGTCCATTCCGTTGGAAGGGGGGGCAGCGGCGGCACCACGCCGCCCCCCTAAAAAGTGCCGCCCTGACACCAAGTGCCAGCATGCCGTATACCGGTGTATAAGACGACCCCCGACTTTTGGGAAGATTTTCATGGGTTAAAAAGTCGTCTTATACGCCGAAAAATACGGTATTACACCTATCCTTTACTTCTGTGTATACAGAAGAGGAGAATGTATTTATTACATCTGCCTTCCCTCGTCACTTGTGACCAACATCCCCTGTTCATCTTTTATAAGTCTACATGTTCTGTCCTTACCCTTTTACTTATGACATATTTGAAAATTTTTTTGCGAATTATTTTTATTTTATGTAGCAATATGTTTTTTGGAATCCACTATATTTAGCTGTCCTGATTACGCTCTTGCATTCCATGTAGTTTTGAAATGTTGAAAATAACCCTTCTGCCTTACATTTTTTAAAAGCAAATTTTCTTCTCATTTATATGTCTTGTTACCCTAGAATTTAGCTGTTCAGGTTTATATTGTGTTCTATTGTCTTTGTTGCCCAATGACATGCACTGGCTTTGTTTAATGTCTTTACAACATTCCCTCATGTCCTCAGAGTTCTTTGTTGAGAATATTTGGTCCCATTTAATATTATATTGTATAGTAAACACTGCAGCTTGATAAAGTTAGCCTTGGTCACTATTTATATACTATTTTTTATTTGTACATTTGATCTAAAATATTCATTATGACAGTTTGTGATTTCCCCTGAGATCTGTCAGCAACCAATCCAGACAATCTCATTTGCAAGAAATGAAAAGGTTGGTAGCAAAGCTTGAAGCTAAAATCTATTAAAATGGCGGTTTTGTATAGAATCTTGTAGAAATGTATGTTTTAGATGGATAGAAATCTTTTTAGTTCTTATGAAACGTCAGCACTGTGGTATAAAGAAGCTCTAATGGGGGTTTTGCCTTTAACTTTGATGTTTTTGTAATATATGTATGATGCTAAATTAATATTTTGTACATGTACATCAGAGTCAAATGTACGTATCTTCGATTGCATACAAAATTGCAATTACAGTGCAGCTCATCAGTGGTGTTATGTAAGGACTGCCAAATCCTTAACTTCTGTAAAATAGATAATCTATAATCATCTATCCCATTAACACAGGCTAATGAGATCATACATATCTGTCTGTACTCACTGTTGTTATCAGTTCCATGAGCCTATCTATTAATGGACTGTACCGTGGAATGAATAGAAGTGACATTACAGTAACTCAAGGGCATTCAATCATGGCCCACAGGTTTTATCTTCTGATTAAAGTATGACAAAAACATTTTTTATTATTATTATTAATAATAATAATAATAATAATAATATAGAGGGTTTATATAGCTCCAACAGTTTGCAGAGCTCCTTACAAAATTAAGGAAGACAATGCAGTTACAAGTTGATCCAGGGAATATCCAATCACCTCTCGGGGGATCAGAAATTTTTTTTCCCAGCAGGATCAAATTAATTAGATCATGCTTTGCTGGGTTTTTTTTTGCCTTCCTCTGGATCAACTGTGGGTATAGGATTATTGTAGCAATCATGCACACAGGGATGGATGTGAACCTCCATTTTGCTAAAGGATCTTCCAATGTGGTCTGTGTTCAAAAGGCCACAGGCCCCAGTGGGAGAGCTCCATGGCTATAAAACCCAATTAGCCTGGCCCCCAGATGTCTTGGAGACTCTGCTTGGAGAAGGATCACAAAACCATAAACCAGTCCTTCCCCTGAGCCTCAAAGACATTCCAGGTAGTCGTAAAACGGACTCACATTTAAACATCCCCTTTTCCCCTATGATTTCATATATTGGATTATGAAATACTTACACAAACATGGAGCACATATTCGGATGGCTTACTTTAATGCAAATCATTTGATATATTACATCCCCTAGCTGAGATCAACAGGAGAGCAGAGAGTGATGTCATCTTGGCTGTCCCGGCAGGTATGTCGTGTTTCATATCTAGACGTTCAGCAGACGATTCTGCATATTAATCTACACGTGGGTGGAATGTTACATGAACCTAGGAAAAGTTATTGACCAAAGTATAATTTCTGAGGGCTTTGGTCAGAGCCTGAGCTCCCCGCCAACACCCCTCCCCAAATGAGGCGATTGGTTCTCTGCTTTAAGGAGACTCCCTGCTGAGTTCCTAGAAAAAGCTAAGCTAAGCTGAGTTAAATGAAGTTGAAGATTCTCCCTTTTAACATCGGAACTAACTTTGGGAGATAAGGCATCCTTTTGGCTCTGAAACCTGATCTGCTTAACCCAAGGCTGACGGCAAGTACTTTATCCCTCTAAACTTCTTTCTGTTATCTCTTTGTTCTGCTATTGCTCTTTGTATATATATATATATATATATATATATATATATATATATATATATAAAAATATATTGGCCACATCTTTTCTGTAAATATTTTTATTGCACCCTCTTGACCTTTTAGTAATAAATCTTACTTCTGACAGTGTTGAACTGTTTCTAAATCTCTTTAATGCAAACTAAGAACCACTGCCTCTGAAGAGCGCTGTGTGTGTGTTTTAAACTTCGGTACATCTCTGCCTGCGGTGACAGTGGTATACCGACGCTTATGCAAACATCATAGTGTTATTGCTAATATTGCCGAGTTTCCTCTTTCTCTGTGCAAAAAGGAGGTGGTGGCAGTGTGAAGGGTTAATTGCGTAATTAACCTGACCCAGTAACAATCGCTTTCAGGCTGCAGACACACAGATTGTGGTCCATTAGCTGGAAAATCTTTGTGCAGGGTGCGCTGGGCTTGGCATTGTTACGCACGTGACAGCGCAGTTTTAGATTGGCTAGTCCTTCGGTCACAAGTTTGGTGAGAAGGGCTAGGGTCTGAAGCCGCGATCGTCACAATTATCACTTTTTTTTTTTTTGATGGTTGAACTGGATGGACTTTTGTTTTTTTTCAGCCAGACTAACTATGTAAGTATGTAACAACAAATTCAATACAAGAGGTTTCAGAAGGTCCTGCTCATCAGAGGGTTTAACCCTCTTTTGGGGGGAGGGGTTATGAGAATTGACCTTCCCCAAACAGGATAGTGCACTAAATCTGTAGGTAAATAAAAGAACCAGAATTTGCTAAATACAAGAGTGGGTTTAATAATAAAGTTAGCAGTGCCTCCAGAGGGGATTTCCTTCCTGGTAAATTAACCAGTAATCTAATTAAAATAATTGGGAGCAGAGGAATTACTGCAACCCATATACAACATTAATCACAAGTATATAGATGCACACCTGTATGAAAATAATACTTTATATAAGAAAAGATTAATACAGTCATGGCCAAAAATATTGGCACCCCTGCATTTCTGTCAGATAATGCACCACTTCACCCAGAAAATTGTTGCAATTACAAATGTTAAGACATTCTCATGTTTATTTCTTTAGTTTGGTATGAGACAAAAAAGTGGAGCAACAAAAAGCCAAATCTGACACATTCCACGCAAAACCCAAAAAAGGGACAGGACAAATTATTGGCACATTCTGAAAATTGTAAGAAATAATTGCATGTTTGTGATGCTCCTGTAACTTGTCATTAAACTCACCTGTATCAATTAACAGGTACCGACAATATAGAAACCACACCGGCAACCAGTTGAAATGGTGAAAAATGTACTTAAGCTTTCTGTTGCCTGTCTCTGTGTGTGACCAGGAGCATGGAGACGAGAAAGAGCAGGAAAGAATTGTTTGAGGATTTGAGAACAAAAATTGCAGAAATGCATGGACAATCTCATGGTTACAAGTTCATCTCTAGAGATCTTAATGTTCCTGTGTCCACTCTGCACATCATTGTCAAGACGTTTACAGCTCATGGCACTGTAGCTAATCTATATGGACAAAATAGAAAACTTGATCAAAGATTGCAAAAAAAGTTTGTTCAAATGGTGGCTAAAGAACCTCAATTTACTTCCAGACAAATTCAAGCTGACCTTCAGGCACAGAGTACATTTGTATCAGCTGGCACTATACCTCGCCATCTGAATGAAAAGGGACGCTGTGGTAGGAGCAGCGGACTGACAACTCATGGGGCCCCCGGGCAATAGGGGATCATGGGGCCCCTGTGTCCTTGCCCAAACTCAAAAAAGCCTATGAAAAAGGTACCAGGGTTATCTCATGGGGCCCCCTATTGACCCCGGGCCTTCGGGCAGTGCCCGAGTT